CACACACACATACACAGAACACTCACAGTAGGATTATGGTAGTGGCAGACTCCATACACAGTTGCAAATGTAGATATGATAGAGCCCAGTAGGCTCAGGAACCTGTACATCAGAAGATTGACAGTTGAGAAGCAGGACCAAAGAGCCAGAGCTCAACTCCTGCAAGTACACAAGTCGGCGAGTACAACCAGACGAGTTAGCACACACACACACACACACACACACACACACACACACACACACACACACACACACACACACACACACACACACACACACACACACACACCACAGCACCCATCATTTACATTCATAGCCGCCAGCGACGATGTGCGTGAATACCGCCGCGGGTGTTTAAAATGCCGTCCGGGATCAGGTGTTTTTCATGGTGGGTGATCCGAGCGTTTGTTCCCCCAACCAGCACACACACACACCATAAAACAAGTACTTTGTATTTGGATCTAATGTGAAATGAAGACTGGAGGGAATTAGGGGGAGATGGGGGAGGAGGTGGGTGGGGGGGTTGGGTGGCAGAAAGCAGTAGTCTGGTAGTCTAGTCTTTGATCTCTAGAGACTTGATGCTTTCTCTCTCTCTCTCTCTCGTTCTCGCTCTCTCTCTCTCTCTCTCTCTCTCCTCTCTCTCTCTCTCTCTCTCTCTCTCTCTCTCTCTCCTCTCTCTCATCTCTCTCTCTCTCTCTCTATATCTCTATATATATAATATATTATATCTATATATCTTATATATATAATATATATATATAGATATATATATATATATATAAGCCTGAATGGTCCCCCGGACTACTATGCAACTGATAGTCCTTGTCCCCTGAAATATAAGGGGTCCCCTGGCCGCTGCTCCAGCGATCTTGTAAAAGTGTTGGTTGGTCCACTTACCTCCACAAGTTTCGTAAATTTTCTGACACGCTAAAAGTTCGCTAAGAGGGACGCTAAGAGGGTGGGGGGTCGAACTGAGTACATATGTGAGCAAAGTTTGAATTACTCTACGACCCTTTATCTACTGAGAATAACTTGGCTTGGGAAATCTTGAACATTCTTGGAAATTCTATGGAATTATAGAAATTTGGGAGAACCGTAGACATTTTTGGAAATTTTGGAAATTGTGTGTGTATTCACCTAGTTGTGTTTGCGGGGGTTGAGCTTTGCTCTTTCGGCCCGCCTCTCAACTGTCAATCAACTGTTTACTAACTACTTTTTTTTATTTTTTTCACACCACACACACACATACACCAGGAAGCAGCCCGTGACAGCTGACTAACTCCCAGGTACCTATTTACTGCTAGGTAACATGGGCATTCAGGGTGAAAGAAACTTTGCCCATTTGTTTCTGCCTCGTGCGGGAATCGAACCCGCGCCACAGAATTACGAGTCCTGCGCGCTATCCACCAGGCTACCAGGCCCCCCCCCCTGTGTATTCACCTAGTTGTACTCACCTAGTTGTACTCACCTAGTTGTGTTTGCGGCGGTTGAGCTCTGGCTCTTTGGTCCCGCCTCTCAACCGTCAATCAACAGGTGTACAGATTCTTGAGCCTATCGGGCTTTGTCATATCTATACTTGAAACTGTGTATGGAGTCAGCCTCCACCACACTGCTTCCTAATGCATTCCATTTGTCAACCACTCTCACACTAAAAAAGTTCTTTCTAATATCTCTGTGGCTCATTTGGGCACTCAGTTTCCACCTGTGTCCCCTTGTGCGGGTTCCCCATGTGTTAAATAGACTATCTTTATCTACCCTATCAATTCCCTTCAGAATCTTGAATGTGGTGATCATGTCCCCCCTAACTCTTCTGTCTTCCAGCGAAGTGAGATTTAATTCCCGTAGTCTCTCCTCGTAGCTCATACCTCTCAGCTCGGGTACTAGTCTGGTGGCAAACCTTTGAACCTTTTCCAGTTAGTCTTATGCTTGACTAGATATGGACTCCATGCTGGAGGCCGCATACTCCAGGATTGGTCTGACATATGTGGTATATAATGTTCTGAAAGATTCCTTACACAAGTTTCTAAAGGCCGTTCTTATGTTAGCCAACCTGGCATATGCTGCTGATGTTATCCTCTTGATATGAGCTTCAGGGGACAGGTCTGGCGTGATATCAACCCCCAGGTCTTTCTGTGTGTGTGTGTGTGTGTGTGTGTGTGTGTGTGTGTGTGTGTGTGTGTGTGTGTGTGTGTGTGTGTGTGTTTAGCATGTAAAAGTTTCACCTTTTGCTTAGTAGCACAGTGGTAGCTATGAGCTTTGTTCATTTATTTGCTCTTTACATCAACTCATCAATTAGAGAAACTTAAGGCTTGCTGACTAACATATATCATGGTGGCGTTTACCATTAGTTTTCATGCAAAATTGTTCTTACTGACCGTCCTGAGCCTTGACAGTAAAATGGCATTAGAAAATACATGTGAAATTCTTTCGAAGGTGAAAGTTCTGTGTGCCATTTTCTTCCCATTTGCAATTTTCTCACCATTTGCAATTCTGTGATGACCTTCCGCTGGTTTGGTCCGAGGCCGGGTAGAAGGGAAATTGTATCTTTTCCCCCCTGCCCTCTACATCAATTCCCGCCCCATGCATCAATCCCCGCCCCATGCATCAATCCCCGCCCCATGCATCAACCTTTAGATCCCTACATCAGTCCCTGCCCTCTACTTCAATCTCCTTCCCTATATCACTCTCCACATCAATCCTCGTACCCTGCATCATCCTCGTCCCCTGCATCAATCCCTGGGGTGACGGGAGTGAACATCTAAACACTATATATATATATATATCTATATATCTATATATATATATATATATATATATATATATATATATATATATATATATATATATATATATATATATATATATATATATATATATGTCGTACCTAATAGCCATAACGCACTTCTCAGCCTACTATTCAAGGCCCGATTTGCCTAATAAGCCAAGTTTTCATGAATTAATGTTTTTTCGTCTACCTAACCTACCTAACCTAACCTAACCTAGCTTTTTTTGGCTACCTAACCTAACCTTACCTATAAATTAGGTTAGGTTAGGTTAGGTAGGGTTGGTTAGGTTCGGTCATATATCTACGTTAATTTAACTCCAATAAAAAAAAATTGACCTCATACATAGAGAAAAGGGTTGCTTTATCATTTCATAAGAAAAATTTATAGTAAATATATTAATTCAGGAAAACTTGGCTTATTAGGCAAATCGGGCCTTGAATAGTAGGCTGAGAAGTGAGTTCTGGCTACTAGGTACGACATATATATATATATATATATATATATATATATATATATAATATATAATCTATATATATATATATATATATATATAATATATATATATATATGATATATATATATATATATACTTCCGGCCTTGTCCTTAACTCTCTTGTGGTGGGTAGAGTAAATAATTCCGTGATTTGAGTGTTCATGGTAGGTTGTTCTATTCTTATGTGAATTGCTTCAAGAATTTGTAATCTTCTTACATCTTGGGTTTTGTCTATTATACAGGTATTTTTGTTCAACATTTCTGGCTGTTTATTTAATTTGTTGTGCTCTGAAGTTCAAGTGTTTATTGACTATTTCATCATTTTCGGAAGCAAATTACGTGTTTGCAATTTCTCTCCGTTTGAGTGTGTGTGTGTACTCACCTAGTTGTGCTTGCGGGGGTTGAACTCTGCTCTTTCGGCCCGCCTCTCAACTGTCAATTATTCAACTGTTACTAACTAATATCTAATTTATTTATTTGTTTATTTATTTTCACACACACACATCCAGGAAACAGCCCGTAACAGTTGTTTAACTCCCAGGTACCTATTTACCGCTAGGTAACAGGGGGCATCAGGGTGAAAGAAACTCTTCCCATTTTTGTTTTCTCGCCGGCGCTGGGAATAGAACTCGGGCCCACAGGATTACGTGTGTGTGTACTCACCCCGGCGCCCGTAATTGTACTCACCTAATTGTGCTTGCGGGGGTTGAGCTCTGGCTCTTTGGTCCCGCCTCTCAACCGTCAATCAACTGGTGTACAGATTCCTGAGCCTATTGGGCTCTATCATATCTACATTTGAAACTGTGAATGGGTCAGTCAGCCTCCACCACATCACTTCCTAATGCATTCCATTTGCTAACTACTCTGACACTGAAAAGTTCTTTCTAACGTCTCTGTGGCTCATTTGGGTACTCAGCTTCCACCTGTGTCCCCTTGTTCGCGTCCCACCAGTGTTGAAAAGTTCATCCTTGTTTACCCGGTCGATTCCCCTGAGGATTTTGTAGGTTGTGATCATGTCCCCCTTACTCTTCTGTCTTCCAGTGTCGTGAGGTGCATTTCCCGCAGCCTTTCCTCATAACTCATGCCTCTTAGTTCTGGGACTAGTCTAGTAGCATACCTTTGGACTTTTTCCAGCTTCGTCTTGTGCTTGACAAGGTACGGGCTCCATGCTGGGGCCGCATACTCCAGGATTGGTCTTACATATGTGGTGTACAAGATTCTGAATGATTCCTTACACAGGTTCCTGAACGCCGTTCTGATGTTAGCCAGCCTCGCATATGCCGCAGACGTTATTCTCTTTATGTGGGCTTCAGGAGACAGGTTTGGTGTGATATCAACTCCTAGATCTTTCTCTCTGTCTGTTTCATTAAGTACTTCATCTCCTATTCTGTATCCTGTGCCTGGCCTCCTGTTTCCACTGCCTAGTTTCATTACTTTGCATTTACTCGGGTTGAACTTCAACAGCCATTTGTTGGACCATGTGTGTGTGTGTCCAGTGTGGTGTGTGTGTGTGTGTGTGTGTGTGTGTGGTGTGTGTTGTGTGTGTGTGTGTGGTGGGTGTGTGTGGTGGTGTGTGTGTGTGTGGTGTGTGTGTGTGTGTGTGTGTGTGTGTTGTGTGTGTGTGTCCGAGGCCCGTCTGTCATAAAATATGTAAATCTGTTTTCGTCTTTCCTTTAGAATGAAGACAATGTTATCACGGCATCTTTTCCTCTTCCTGGCAGTTCCACCGGACAAGGTGATGGTATCTGGCCCTGAGGAGTCTCGAGTAGGTGAAAACGTCACCCTCACCTGCTCCGTGGAGAACAGCAACCCTCCAGCCGAGGTCTCCTGGGTGGTGGATAGTCAGCCCAAGCCGGAGACTTCAACGCGCCAGGAGCGAGCCAGTCCCGGAGGCTGGCACACTATCAGCAAACTAGCCATCACCGTCCCGCCTGTGGATAGAGACATGATGTTTACCTGCCACGCCACTAACCAGGCACTCGGGGAGACCAAGGTCGACACCTTTATGCTCTCTGTTCTCCGTAAGTAACAACTGAATTATATATATATATATTATGACTTGTGCCGGTAGGTCAAAGTGGTTTTCGTTGTTCTATTCCACTTTGATGGTGGACTGATAAGCAATGATCAGGAGGGATAACCATGTTATTAGATTCCTAAATGGGCTTTAGTAGTTGAAATAAGGTATTGTTATGTGGTGATTGTGGTAAAATAGGGTGAAATTCGAGCATGGGGATATTTAAATATTGTATTAACAATTTGCATAACTTCCGTAACTTAGTGTATCCTACCAATTAGAGTCATTCACCCTTCACTAACCGGCTATTTGATGAAGCTGTTACAACAAAGCTAATTTTAGTATGCTTTGGCATACCTTTGGTAAATACAATTTTTATGTGAAATTAATGAGAGGAAATGCTATGATAGGCAATGCCCAGATTTCTGTGCATAAGGAACCAGTGTTAAAGATGGAAAGAGGACTAATATGATAATTCTGACAGTTTTGCAGAGGAAAGGCTTGGGGCTTTCCCCCCTCTGATAATAATTCCCCCCCCCTGATAATCTCTCGCCATCTCTCTCTCTCTCTCTCTCTCTCTCTCTCTCTCTCGTCTCTCTCCTCTCTCTCTCTCTCTCTCTCTCTCTCTCTCTCTCTCTCTCTCTCTCTCTCTCTCTCTCTCTCTCTCTCTCAAATAAACACATATCCCTTAAATGCTGCCAAAAAAAAATTCCCGACAAATACGACCAGAAGTAATTGTGTAAATTACATTGAAAATCTAATTATTTCCTCACATAATTAATGTAGTATCCTGCATGTGGTTGTATGTCTGACAGTAAACCTGCAGCTGTGTGTGTGTTCTTGGGGCCTTGTGCCAGCAGATTATATTTCCCAGGAGAACTTACACACAATAATCTTACGGCATGCCTGTATTAGTGGCAGTTTGGGGTGGGAGGGTATATATTGTGTGTTGTTTTTACTTAACATGTGTGTGTGTGTGTGTGTGTGTGTGTGTGTGTGTGTGTGTGTGTGTGTGTGTGTGTGTGTGTTTTCATCTGAATTGTCCAAATATACACTACTAGCATGTGTTGCCAGGGCATCTCAGGCTGGATAAGTGATGTGACTAGCTGGTGATAGTTCATTATTGTTGTGATGTGAAACCCTGAAACTTGGTCCATTGATGTGTCTCATCCTCGTTTTCTATTTTACTGAGGGAGAGATAGGGAAGGGAATATATCATGAGTGTACGAAGGAGATAAGAAATAAACTCCAGGAACTTCATGGAAAGTCGTGCTTGTGTGATAAAAACAATGGGATTAGTAAATTAAAAATGATGGGGGAATGAAAAGAGAAAAGCAGAGAGAAAAATGTAAATAAAGAATTAAGCATTTTATACAATCTTAATTGAAAAAAGGTTCTTGACATTGTGGAGGAGTTCTCAACCCTTGAGGGCTGCATTTTCACTGCTGGTCAGACATGGCTTACTATAAGAATATAAACTTAGAATATGAAGGCTTTCGCAAGAAATCTCCATGTATTCACAAAATCCTATAGAATTGTTCCGTGTTTCGTTCCGTGTGTGTGGTGTGTGTGTGTGTTGTGTGTGTGTGTGTGTGTGTGTGTGTGGTGTGTGTGTGTGTGTGACCCAATAAACTATGCTATTAGGCAGGTATTTGTTGGTGGAGCGGCGGCTTGCGGGAGGTTGTATAAATGACTGACGTGGACATTGTCACAATGTTTGCTGGGAGGGGTTGAGGTTGAGAGTGAGGAAGAAGTCTACCTTCCTTGTACAAGCTCTGGATCATTGGTCCCGGTGGCCCAGTCCCTCGTTATCCTCGTTAAACATCATGCTTTTTGTAGTGGGGTGAGGGGGTGTAGGGGTCTAGGTTAGGTGTGCTGGATGAAGCATGGAGGATGAAGGGTTGGATGAATGCGGTGGAGATGGTGGAATCGGTTGTGAAGGGGTTGGTAGATGGCTCATATGTCAGAAGAACGACTTTCCCAATATGATGGACGGCTTGATCACCCAAATAGACAGTTTGAGTGTCCATTTGGGCGATATAGATAAGACTAGGGATAAACACATATATATATATATATATATATATATATATATATATATATATATATATATAATATATATATGTCGTACCTAATAGCCAGAACGCACTTCTCAGCCTACTATTCAAGGCCCGATTTGCCTAATAAGCCAAGTTTTCATGAATTAATGTTTTTTCGTCTACCTAACCTACCTAACCTAACCTAACCTAGCTTTTTTTGGCTACCTAACCTAACCTTACCTATAAATATAGGTTAGGTTAGGTTAGGTAGGGTTGGTTAGGTTCGGTCATATATCTACGTTAATTTTAACTCCAATAAAAAAAATTGACCTCATACATAGAGAAAAGGGTTGCTTTATCATTTCATAAGAAAAAATTATAGTAAATATATTAATTCAGGAAAACTTGGCTTATTAGGCAAATCGGGCCTTGAATAGTAGGCTGAGAAGTGAGTTCTGGCTACTAGGTACGACATATATATATATATATATATAGATATATATATATATATATATATATATATATATTTGGATCTTTATGAGAATGAATCAGGATGATTAGTCTGTTAGATAGTTATAAGCGGCTGTTAACAGGTAGTTACGATAGCAAATAACTTGCTCTTACAAAATGATATCCTCGTAAACATGCATTGGGCCGGCTGGTGTATTAATTACCCCGTTGCGTGCCCTCTTTGATGGAATTTTTAATGCCATTTTACCGGTAAATATAATCCTGTTAATTACATTTTTTTTAAATAAATGGCTTTTGTTGTTTATGATAGCAAGTACACGCACGCTTTACATTGACCGGACCAAACATTTATACATTTGTCATTGAATACATTGCTCACATTTATACATTTGTCATTGAATACATTGCTCACATTTATACATTTCTCATTGAATATCGTGAAACACCAACGTTGTAATGGCGACCTTTGGTTTAATGCTGCGCTTGTATACAATGTATATATGTATAGAATGTATACACCTTATGCATAGGTACCTTTTATTGTTGGTTCCGGAAATCAATGTCGCGCGGACCGATGTCTGACCAGGCCACATGTATATATTATATATAGCATGCATATGTTATATGTATACCATTTCTACATTATATGTATAACATGTATATATCATATGTTGCATTTATAGCATGTATACTTTTTTATGTCATGTATACATGATATGTATATCGTGTTAACATTTTATGAATAGTGTGTATACATATAGCATTTATTCTTATCCATATAGCGTGTGTGTGCATATTATGCATACTTTGTATATACTGTATGTATAATATGCTCAAATATATAATTTTTTTGAATTTTATATGTATCAACTTTTCAACTGAATTGGCGATATTATAAAACTTAAGATCCCTCCCTTATTAGGACATATTATGGACTATATTTTTTATATATTGATTATATAATTATTTTATATATTTAATATATAAAATATATTTTTTATCTTGTATATATGATCGTTACGTCAACTGGGGTACACTGGGGTAAATTACACAAGGGCTTAAATAACACGCACGGACTCATACAAAGGCGTGCACGCACGCACGCGCGCACACACACACACACACACACACACACACACACACACACACACACACACACACACACACACACACACACACACACGTGTGAGATATGATAGAGCCCAGTAGGCTCAGGAACCTGTAGATTGACGGTTGAGAGGTGGGACCAAGAGCCAGAGCTCAGCCCCAGCAAGCACAACTAGGTGAGTACACACACACACACACACACACACACACACACACACACACACACACACACACACACACACACACACACGTGTAGATATGATAGAGCCCAGTAGGCTCAGGAACCTGTAGATTGACGGTTGAGAGGTGGGACCAAAGAGCCAGAGCTCAACCCCCGCAAGCAGTACTAGGTGAGTACACACACACACACACACACACACACACACACACACACACACACACACACACACACACACACACCGTAATAGCCTCTGCAGGCCCCGTGGTTCTCAAGGACCCAGCTCTTGAACTTCCTCTCAACAACCCCAGTGAAAGACCTCTTACTTTGTTCCTCAATCACAAGACCTCTACTTTCCCACTCTCTTGCCTCTTCGATAGCCTTCCTCTACAAAGGCCCAAGGGTCCCTCTCTCTCCTCTCACCCACCCCCCCCCCCTCTCCCACTCACCTGTGTTTTCTTTGTTTCCATTCCCACTCCCCTCTAACAACCTTCCTACCCTCCCCCCCCCCCCCCGCATACACACGCAGAGAAACAGAGAATTGCAATTTCATTTTTTTCTGTTCCGTTGTTCTGGTGGAAGGCCTGTTGGACTGTGCGTTAGGCAGGCGAGATGGTCCGAAATGGCTTCCTCTTATGATTAATGTTTTTTTATTTATTTATTTGTGTGTATGTGTGTGTGTGTTTGTGTGTGTGTGTGTGTGTGTTTGTGTGTGTGTGTACTCACCTAATTGTGCTTGCGGGGGTTGAGCTCTGGCTCTTTGGTCCCGCCTCTCAACCGTCAATCAACTGGTGTACAGATTCCTGAGCCTATTGGGCTCTATCATATCTACATTTGAAACTGTGAATGGAGTCAGCCTCCACCACATCACTTCCTAATGCATTCCATTTGCTAACTACTCTGACACTGAAAAAGTTCTTTCTAACGTCTCTGTGGCTCATTTGGGTACTCAGCTTCCACCTGTGTCCCCTTGTTCGCGTCCCACCAGTGTTGAAAAGTTCATCCTTGTTTACCCGGTCGATTCCCCTGAGGATTTTGTAGGTTGTGATCATGTCCCCCCTTACTCTTCTGTCTTCCAGTGTCGTGAGGTGCATTTCCCGCAGCCTTTCCTCATAACTCATGCCTCTTAGTTCTGGGACTAGTCTAGTAGCATACCTTTGGACTTTTTCCAGCTTCGTCTTGTGCTTGACAAGGTACGGGCTCCATGCT